CATATTTATTTCTTTTTTTCACTCATTTTAGCATTTAAAAAAATATAGTTGCTTTTTCTTGCCTTGTCTTTTGAGGGTTAGAGGTGTTTCTGCTTTTGTTTTTATTTTTTTGTTTTATTCCTCTTTCTCTTCTTTCTTCTCCAACTAAAACCCAACTTCTCTTATTCTCTTTCTCTTCCTTTATGTTGTTTTCCCTATTTTTTCTCCTCCTTCTTTATAACTATCACTTGCAATGTGTCTTCTGCATTGTCTGTTTACATTTTGACCACTCAGAATTCATTTCTATCTTCCTGTCATGTTTGCTTTTTTCAATGAACTATATTTTTAACATTTTTAGAACAATTTGGTTTATATAACTCCTGCCCTTACCATTCATATTATTTCAACTATTACTGCTATGGATGACATAGTTGACACCTGCTGTTCACTTTAAGTCAGATCTAGTTCACAGTTAAGGATTGTTTTTGTTTTTGACAATTACTGACCTCACCATTTCTGTTTTTGTGGTAATTAGTGTTGAAGATGTCCTAGTGGGCATTGTTTTCTTTTCTTTTTTTTTTAACATTATACATTTTTTGCTTTGGTTATTAATATTGTTTACTTCCTCCTTTTCTGCAAGGTAGTGAGACACTATAAATTCACAGGGTAGACACTGCTACTAAACTAACCTCAGTCAAAAGATAGTGTACCTTGCTCCACACACAAGTTAATGACACTAAACTTTTTGGGTATACTCTAATACAAAGAATAAAAGAGAAAAAAACCCAAACTAATGACCAAGCCCCAAGTAGGTTCCACTCATGGACATTTGTTTCTACAGCAAAAAGAGACAAAATTAATGCAAAGACTATGGATACCATGCCTATGAGGAGGTTTAAATCTAGATGACTGAAGAACAGTTAGGCAAGATAGGATTGTACCCTAAAAAGGCTCACCCATAAGCATGGGAGAGAAATCCATCCTGTCATATGCCTTAAAAACAAACACAGTTATAGAAGAAATATGAAAAAAGGAAACATGACACCTCTTAAAGATCATAATTCACAAGAAACTAGATGATATTGAAGTGGTGAAATATCACACAAATAATTCAAAAGAATGATTATAAAAATGATCAATAAAATTCCAAGAAAATACAGAAAAACAACTGAATAGATTAGGAAAGTCAGTTAAGGATATGAATGAGAAATTCAATAAGGAAATAGAGATATTGTAAAAGAACCAAACAAAAATCTTGGAAATGAAAAACACAATGATTCAAAAAAAAAATGTTCAGTTAAAAGTCTCTCTAAAAGAGTAGACCACGCTGATGGCAGAATCTGAGTTGGAAGACAAAGTGGCCAACCTAGAACATTCAGGGAGTATTAAGAGAAAATAAGTAACCATGATTTGAATATACAAGAACTCTGGGACAACATTGAGAGACTACATATAGGAATCATTGGAATTGAAGAAGGCTGTGAGAGTCAGACTAATGGAATGAAAAACCTCTTCAGGGAAATAACAACAACACAGAAAAACTTCTAGACCTTGAGAATGAGATGGACATCCAGATATACAACTCGTTCAGACCCAAAATATATAAGATCAAAAAGGATCTCTCAACAGCACATTATAATTAAAATGCCTGACAGAACAAGGAGAGAATTTTAAAAGCCCAATGAGAAAAACATCAGGTAAGATTTAGAGGCAAGTCAATCAGAACTACTTGTGATTTCTCAGCACAAACTCTAAAAGCTAGGAGGGCTTGG